TCTACTCTCTCTCTCTCTCTCTCTCTCTCTCTCTCTCTCTCTCTTCTATTTTAGTTCTTTGACTCTCCACCACTTCCTCTCCTCCTCCAAATCCCTTCAATCTGCACCCCACGTTCGATCCCCCCCAAATAGAAAATGTCAACACCACCTCAAAAGCCCCCTCTCCTCGTTCGCCACAGCTCAACAAGAATAGGAGCTCATCCAACTCTTAAGCAATTCTCATTCTCTCAAACACCTTCATCAATATCTCATCTTCCCCTTCGCTTCTCATCCTCCTCTCTTCTCTCTCTTCAGAGTTTTGGTTCTTCTCACCAACGGCGAAGTTTTAGCCTTCTCCTTCCGTTCTTCCCACCTCCTTTCCCTGTCAGGAGAGGTGGGGAACAAGGTCCAAGGTTTGCCTCATTTTACGTGCCCAAAACCATCAAGTTACCATCTTTATCATCCCATCGATCTCGTAGCCCTGCTCGTTCACATCGTACGCCATCAAGTTCCCTGCTTTATCTTCCATGCCATCCGTTGGCATTGTATTTTAGGTGGGTTTCTCGTACTCCGTCAAAATTCCGTTCAGGCGGCTAACTACGAGGCCCCCTTACCTCCAATCTCTCCGCTCCCCTGATCGGGGAGATGACCCGGTGCACCCCCGCACGCTATGGTATAAGGTCAGGGCGTTCAGTCTTGTCATGGTGCGATTTCTCAAGCGGGGGCACGGCTTCGACAAGTCGGAGGAGGGAGACGAGGTGTGCGAGGTAGGAGGGCACCAGGCTCATAGCCTGATTCTGGAGGGCAGTGAGAATGGCTTCGGAGTTGAGGAGGATATCTTCTTCCATAGCCAAGGGGCAGGCGCAGGCCGCCCTCTTGGGGCGCAGCAGATTGGCTCCGTGCTCGAACGCTCGTCGGGTATAGGCCCGAGGTCTCGACAGCGCAAGGATGGAGGTGCTCGAGCTGGACCGCCATCAGGCAAGTTTTTTGAGATGCTAAACGACACGCATACATATATGGAAAGGAGGATTCATGAATTGATTGTTATGACATCAGTTTGTTCTCTGTGTTTCGGCTTTTGATTCAGATATGGAGTTGATGAAGGAGAGGTTCACAAAGCTGCTTCTTGGTGAGGACATGTCTGGTGGTGGTAAGGGAGTTTCATCAGCTCTTGCTCTCTCCAATGCCATCACCAACCTTGCTGGTAATTCCACTCTCCCTGAGGACTAGCCATGATTTGTCATACTTCAACACAATCAGCTGAGGAGCAAAATAAAATGCTGGATATTGTCATCTAAGAAATAGGAAAATTCTATTAATATATGCAATTTGCTAACCTGTTTGATTCTGATAAGTCTAAATGCTCAAAGGATCATTAGCCATTGTTTTACTGTTCCTGATACATGCAGCATCCGTTTTTGGTGAGCAATGGCGTTTGGAGCCTATGTCTGCTGAAAGAAAAGCTAGGTGGAGGAAAGAAATCGGTTGGCTTTTGTCGGTCACCGACTATATCGTAGAATTCGTTCCTTCCCGGCAGACATCGAAGGATGGATCCATCATGGAGGTCACGCGGGGCCTATAAGCTCTGTAGATTGTGCATAGCACGCAGAGAGATCTGCATAAAGTTTCATGCAAGTTCAAACTCATGTGTTTCCTTCACTTGCAGATAATGATCACTCAACAACGCAAAGATCTTCAATTGAACATTCCTGCGCTGCGCAAACTCGACGCAATGCTCATCGTAAGTGAGCCTCTCCCTCTTCAGAAGAACAAACAAATGAACCGCCTTCATGTATAATTCTGAATTCTTCATCGTTATGCATGGTGAATCAGGGCTACCTGGACAACTTCAAGGACCAGAACGAGTTCTGGTACGTATCAAGAGACGCTGATGAATCTGAGAAAGGTGCACAGAGAAAAGACGACAAATGGTGGCTTCCGACGGTGAGAGTCCCTCCCAATGGACTCTCGGATGTCTCCAAGAGATGGCTGCAGTTTCAGAAGGAATCAGTCAACCAAGTACTCAAGGCAGCAATGGCAATCAATGCTCAGGTCCTTATGGAAATGGAGGTCCCTGAAGCCTACATCGACTCCCTTCCCAAGGTAGACCACCGTAAGCTTGTGAATGTATGTTGATTTCTCATGTTCCTAGCCATGTCTCTGCTCCCTTGAACTGGTTTTGTGACAGAATGGGAGGGCAAGCCTCGGAGAATCGATTTACAGGAACATTACGGATGATGTCTTTGACCCTGGAGAGTTCCTCGAAACGATGGACTTGTCGACGGAGCACAAGGTCCTCGACCTCAAGAACCGAATCGAGGCCTCCATTGTCATCTGGAAGAGGAAAATGCACGACAAAGACAGCAAGTCCACCTGGGGTTCGGCTGTCAGCTTGGAGAAGAGGGAGCAGTTTGAAGAAAGAGCCGAGACCATCTTGCTCCTCATCAAGCAGAGGTTTCCTGGACTCCCTCAAACATCTCTCGACATAAGCAAGATCCAATACAACAGAGTAAGGGACACGATCTCTGTCAAGGATCAGAATCTATCATATCTTATCCACTCCCCCAGTGCATTTCTTTGACGGCCATTTCTGCAGGATGTTGGACTGTCGATCCTGGAAAGCTACTCGAGGATTCTGGAAAGCTTGGCTTTCACAGTAATGTCCCGAATCGAGGATGTCATCTACGCGGACTCTCTGGCCCAAAATCCAGCAACCAAGAACTCCAACAGGAGGCAATCCCTGCATGATGCAGCAGCAGTGAAGAAGCTGCACGCGAAAGAAGAACCGGAGAAGGTGGAGTCGCCGTCGTCGATGACCCTGTCAGATTTCATGGGTTGGAACTTTGAGCCAGAACCAGTCATGAAGAAGAACTCCGGGTACGTGGACGACATCATAAGCTCGAAGAAGAAGCCTCCTGACGTCGAGGCCGTGAAGAAAGTCTCCTACATAGAGAAGGTAGAGCACGTAGGCGGCATGCGAAGTCCTACAGCTCGCCATTA